CTCTTTGCCCATTTCTGTCTCTTCCTTTCCCATGAAGACCCCATCCTTTTTGTTGCCTACCAGTACCCTTTACAGCTCACCCTTCACATCCTTTCATGCTCCCTCTTCATCTTCCATGGTACTTGGCAAGGAGGCAGCGTGATGTGGCAGCAATATTACAGAACAGGGAGACAACGCTAGTACTACTGCCCTCAAATTCTGCCACTTATTTGCAAGGTGCCCTTGGCTGCCTTTGACCTCACAGTTTCCTCATCTGTAAAATGAGGTTAATAATACAGTATCTCCCTTGCCTACCTCACCATGTGGTCGTAAGAATCACGAGAACTATTGTATGTGAATGCACTCTATTATCACTTACTGTACCCTAAAGCACTTGTTTTAATTATTAATCCTACTCTGCCCTGTACTCACTGCAGTCATTTCATGTGTGATATCTAGTCTCACTAGTTCTTTAGGTCAAAGATTTTTCATATATTTAAAGTGTAACTGCAGTACAACTCTGCAGTGGTCATCACAGTGCCGACCACACAGCAGGTACTTCATGTGGATTTAATAGAATTTTGATCTCTGATATTTCCCAAGAACCTACCGTTTTGGTTGTGCTGCAGTGGTGGTTGGTTGTTTAATTATCAGATAGGTACTTGAATTTCTGGCATTTTCCCAAAGCAAGATTGAAATTCTAAGGATATAAAATGGATGTGGGAGACCTTAGAAGCAGGGTAAATAAGTTGTTTGGGTGAGTTATTCTCTTGAAAATGAACTAAAGACAGAACTCAGTTCTTGGATCAGTCGTCATGAGTCTGGTAGTCAATCCTCACTGTAGCCTTATACAACTCTGTGGATGTTATAGTTCCCTGTGCTATGCAGTAGGTCCTTGTTGGTTATGTATTTTATATAAGTAGTATGTATATGTTAATCCCAAACTCCTAATTTATCCCTCCCCTACCCCCTTTCCCCTTTGGTAACCGTAAGTTTGTTTTCTATGTCTGTGAGTCTATTTCTGTTTTGTAGATAAGTTCATCTGTATCATTCTTTTAGATTCCACATATAAGTGACATCATATGAAAAACAAACAAACAAAAAAACCACCAAGGGCTTCCCGGGTGGCGCAGTGGTTGGGAGTCCGCCTGCCGATGCAGGGGACACGGGTTCGTGCCCCAGTCCGGGAGGATCCCACATGCCGCGGAGCGGCTGGGCTCGTGAGCCATGGCCGCTGAGCCTGCGCTTCCGGAGCCTGTGCTCCGCAGCGGGAGGGGCCGCAGCAGTGAGAGGCCCGCGTACCGGGGGAAAAAAAAAAAAAAAACCCACCAAAAGACTCTCTGGATGCTCACATTGGACAGGGAGAAAGTCCCAGTAAGTGAGGATGCCACCCAGACTATCAGGACTACACCAGGTTTCACTGAGAAGGCTGCTTCAGTCTGAAATAGGAGAAGACCCTTTGCTGGCTTCAGCTGATGACACATTTTAGCAGTCCACATGAATTTGCTTCCAACTTTCTCCTAGTCGAAATAGGAAATAGGTTCTTGTATTATGTCCATTGTAAGGGTCAGTGCTCTTAGTGCCTCAGTAAGGGGAAGGCAAATACTTCATGTAAGTGAAAATTTATTTTAAATCACACAGAAATATACCATTTTTAAAAAGATATCTAAAATAAGGTGAACCTTCAGGAAAATAAGGTGAACCTGTTGTGATGGACTCTCCTTCGGGTGGCAGGGGCATGCTGGGTACCTCTTACTACCCCGGAGGTTTAATTTGCAATGAGTAAGCTGGCAATCAGTAAAACTTGATTTTCCCCCCTCCAAGCTTGACGTGTCTAGTGTACCTTCTGCTTCTGGAAGAATTGAACTTTGTTGGAAGGGTGAAATTTCTGAACCAAGAATGGGGACATGGGAGCTATGAAGTTTGCTAAAAATCATCAGTGTACCAGACTACCCAATCCCTAGTTCAGGCTACAGGGCCTCAACGTGATCCTGGTCAGTGCTACAGATCTAAGTGTGTCTGCCCCCATGCATTTATTCTGGTGATTGTCATCTGTGGAAAGTCTCAGCCAGCATGCTTCTTTCTCCTTTTTAAGAAAAAAATTTGTTTCTTGAGACATTTCTTCTATTTAGCCAAACTAAATGTGTATAAGTTTGTTCTTTGCAGATTTGCTTATTTCTAGGCGCCTCCCTACATGATTTCAGCATAAATAATACCCTTCCCTACCTACGACAAGCTACAGGAGTCACTAGCGTTTTAGAAAAGTAAATGGAGCAGAGTTAGTAACACTCCACAATCCAGTGTATCTAGAGCAACTTTCACGTATTTGCCATTTGTACATGGACTGCCTTCATCACTGTATTCAAACTGTAGGGCATGGACCATGTCTTACTTAAATTTTTATTTCTAGTTCCTCATATAGTACATAGTAGATGTTCAAGAATGCTTATTAAATGAAAAAGAGGTGTGTGTGTGTGTGTGTGTGTGTGTGTGTGTGTGTGTATGTATGCATTTTCCAATTTAAAAGTTTATTACTGGGCTTCCCTGGTGGCGCAGTGGTTGGGAGTCCGCTTGCCGATGCAGGGGACACGGGTTCGTGCCCCGGTCGAGGAAGATCCTGCATGCCGTGGAGCGGCTGGGCCCGTGAGCCATGGCCGCGGAGCCTGCGCATCCGGAGCCTGTGCCCTGCAAAGGGAGAGGCCACAGCGGTGAGAGACCCGCGTACCGCAAAAAAAAAAAAAAAAAAAGTTTATTACTACTTAGCTAGAAAAAAACGCCAGAGGTAAATTTGGATGGATGGTGCCGAACATGACATTTCTAATGCAGTGCTCGAAAAAATCACCCCCACAAAAGGAAGCCAAATCCATGGACTACATGGTGTGGCTATGCGGCAGCTGCAGGACGTTGGCAAGTCTTCTTGGATGTGTCCTGCAGGACCCAGTGAGCCCAGACCCAGAGGAATTCTAGTGACAGTGCTCTGTCAACTCTCCTTCATGAACTACCATTGCCAAAAGGTACACAGAGTTAAATAAAAGCCTAAGCAGGGCTGGCAGTATTTTAATGTACAACCACCTCGTAGGCCTCAGTAAGGTATTAAGTTCCTAAGGTTCTGGAATTTTCCTTGAAGGATTTCATAACCACATCAGGCTTGTTAGAGTATTGATTATTGCTACTGCTGCTGTTTTCCCAGTGGAAGCTCCTGATTTGATGTCCATTTGATACTTTTCTTCTGTACTTCAACCTCTCTTTCTTATACAGACTTGCAACCTTTAACTGTTTTGAGTTAATGGTGAGAAATCAGCTAATCTTTGCTGTAAAATATGTACTAAGAACTAGCCATGTCTTTTCAACGTTTTATATATATACATATATATATGTATATATATACTTTTTCCGATTCTTTTCCATTATAGGTCATTACAAGATATTGAATATAGTCCCCTGTGCTATATGGTAGGTCCTTGTTGTTTATCTATTTTACACAGTATCTGTTAATCCCAAATACCCGATTTATCTCTCCCACCCCTTTCCCCCTTGACAACCCTGTTTGTTTTCTATGTCTGTCAGTCTGTTTCTGTTCTATAATTCACTTAATTTGTATCATTTTTTTTAGATTCCACATATAAATCATATCATATAATTGTCTTTCTCTTTCTGGCTTACTTAGTATGATGATCTCTAGGTGCATCCATGTTGCTGCAAATAGCTTTATTTCATTCTTTTTTAGGGCTGAGAAATATTCCATTGTGTATATCTCCCACACCTTCTTTATCCATTCATCTGTCAACAGACACTTTGGTTGCTTCCATGTCTTGGCTATTGTAAATAGTATTGCTAAGAATATTGGGTGCATGTACCTTTTCAAATGACAGTTTTCATCTTTTCCAGATATATGCCCAGGAGTGGGATTGCTGGATCATGTGGTAGCTCTATTTTTAGTTCTTTAAGGAAAACATCCTCCTTTAAGTGTTATATGTGATATGCATATCCCCTATGCACGTATTTTATTATTAAATCCATTGTCCCATTAAGTGCTCTTTAAAAGAAAATGTGACTGTACTTTTCTATCTCCTTTCTTCATCCCACAATATTCAGCAAACATTTGGGCCCCTGCTCTGTACCAGTCCCATTGCTGGAGATGAAAGACTACTGTGCCTTCAGGGGCCTTGAATATGATGAGAGAGGGAAACAGACCCCTGCCTGTGTGCACACCTTCTTCTTCCCATTGAAGAATCTGACATCTGATGAATGGTTGCTGCTGGGCCATTCAGGGATTAAAGGCAAGGTTTATCAGTGGAACGAATAAAGAAATCATTGAGGAGAATAATTGTTCAAGTTTGGGGCTTCAGACTGTAATCTCACATTACCTGGAAAAATAGCAGCAGTGATTGCCATCGGCTGACACACCGCCCACCGACAGGGAGGGGGTGCTCTAGGCTGGCCGGGCCTCCTGCCAGCCGAGCCAGGAAAGTAGCCCTGATTAGAGCAACTAGAGCAACTCCCTGAGCCGGTTCATAATTTGCTTAATCACACTTACTTCACTGAACTATGGTTTTGGCTTTAGGGGGTTTTAGGGGAAAAAATGCAAGGTTTGGGGAAAGGGAAAGGAAGCAGTTAGAAAGAATTCAAATTGATCCTCCTCCCTAGTCAGTTTGGGGTTGGCAGAAAGGAAAGCAAATGACATCAGTGACAGGTGTAAATATAAGGAAGCCGATTTGGACAATGAGTCCTTTGAGTCTTGTTTGGGTGAGAATTATTGCGATCACAAAAGGAAGCAGCTGGTAAGTTCTGGAAACCTTTTTAATGTAAGCCCAGAGTTTGAATAATGCACTAAATGGAGTGTAGTGCATATATTTAAATATTTATGTACAAATGGCTGTCGTTTTTTAGCCTGCTCTGCCCTGGTCCCATGACTTGATACAATTGCTTTTAAATGATCATTTTGTAGATGCTAGAAAGGCATTGTACAGAAGATGAGAATCACAGCAAACCAAACAAAGAAAACGCAGAAGAGACCACTCTAAACCAAATATGTCCATCATAGCCAACTATATTTAAGAAGTTTCGAAGGCAGTTTAGCGTAGGGATTAAGATGGAGGAGTTTGGAACTGGACCTACATTTTAATCCTATCAGTGATTTACTAGCTTTGTAGCCTTGGGTAAGTTACTTATCCTGTCTTTAAATTTCAAATTCTTCATCCTTAAAGAGGGGATAGAAATCGTACCACCTCACAGGGGTGCTGTGAGAATTAAATGAATTAATGGTGTTCAGTGCCTGACACGCATAAACCCTCAAAAAATGTTATCTTAAAAAAGGACGGTGTTGTATGTGAGGGCTCATGCAGGAAACCATTAGCAAAGCATGGGGAAGTCAGAACTCTGAGAGCAGCAACTTTGTTTTAGGGACTGAAGCTTTGGCAGTGAACGAAACGATGCCTGGCACGTGGTTGGTGCTCCGTAAATACTGACTGAATAACTGAAAAAATGGGTGTCATGCATTTAGGGTGTATAAACTGGATTAGTCTGTGAAATTGTACATTTTAAATGAGGAAAGTATAAGGAAAGAAATAACGGGTGAAAATTTTGTGTGTGGCAGAGGTGTATATTTCAAACTTTTAGCCAGGAAAATGTTCATCCTGTCATTTCCTGTCAGGGGCACAGGGTTTGATTCCCTTTTCTTCCCTAAGATCAAATGATCTGGGGGTGCTGTTTGTAACGATCTGGATGGGGTCCTCCTGGCTGCAGCATTCCCAGCTCCTGTCCTGTCCTGCTTGCGTGATGTTAAGAAGAGACACTGTAGGGGAGAGACAAGCACACGTTTAAACGACTGATTAAAAACATTCTTTTCTCCTATTTGCTTCCAAATCATGACAATTTAACGTCCCCTTGTGATGGAAAAGAGAAGCTTGGGGGTGCCAGATGCCGGAGTCCAACTGCATTTCTGTTCTCCCATTTGTAAACCGGCCCCACCTGGGGTCTCTTCTGAACTCCCCAGGGAAGCCGTGGGCTGGTGGGTTCTGCCCTTGTCTGTGTACAGCGCCTTCCTCTGCTCCCTGTGTTCCAGGCCTAGAACAAACAGAGGGTGGGGAAAGGGACTGACATTCTCTGCCTAACCCTCGCCTGCAGTCATTTCTCAGACGTGATGAACAAATACTGCCTTTGAAGGAAGATGTACAAATTTGCCCAAGAAGGGAATGCAGTTCTGGGACCTCATGGCTACAGGATTGTGTAAATCACTCAACACTAGTAAAGTTGAAGTTATGAAAGTAAATAATTTCCATTTGTACCAGAGCTAATTACTCTAAGGAAAATGGTGACAGAAGATGTATTCTGTAACTTCTCAGGCAGCCCTGGAAGTCTGACTCCAAAGACAGAGTTTTCAACATACTCAACTCTAAGATGTTACATGTGGGCAGCTAATACTGATTTAGTTTGTGCTGTCTTCAGACATTATTCTAAGTGATTGTGACATATTCACTCACTCCCTTGAGGTCATTATTGTTTATTATCTTTTACAATGAGGAAACTGAGGCACAGGGAGGTTAAGTGACTTGCCCAATGTTAGCACTCTTAGCACTTGATTCAACATGTAAGGAAACTGAAATGCTGAGAAATAGCCCATGTGTGGCAAAATATTCAGCTCGTCACTCAGCTAAATAGCAATTTCCCCCCTTACTCTATGTGCATAAGGAACCATTGCATCCTTTCCTGTGGGAGTGGTTTATAGCTCTTACCTATGAAGCCTGCATGCTAGGGGCAAAGAGAAAGGCTTCCCAGGCCACTTCCTCTTGTCTGCTCAAGAGCTTGAAATCTGGGATTTCAGAACCTCAAATGGAGTCCTGGGAGATGAGCTGTTTGTCATATTTCAAAGAGCCTACAGGAAATTGCTCATTTAGGGGCAGTAAAACAGTGTGGGCTAATGTGTATAAAAACGTTTTTGCATGTGTTTGTCAAATTATGTATATCATGTTAATGTAATAGTTTATTTTGTGTGGGTCAGACACTTTTCATGGCACTTGTGCCTTTTGCTTTTCATCTTAAAAATGGGTAACTAATTATCTTTTACATAGAGTTTAGAGAAATCCTTCTAAATGTGGAATCTGGGGTCTGGACCTTAGGGATGAAAAAATTAGCACCTATTGACCTGCCGTGAGAGAGGGATGTGTTACTAATAGTCAACAATCACAGTATACTCAAATGGATAGAACACCCCTATCCTGCAGGAAGGCAGTGCTTCCTGGCTGTTATCTTCCTTACCTGAATTCTTAATCCACTGTTGTATTGCAGAGAGCTGTGACTATGTTCTTACTAAGCTCTCAGGGGCTTTACCAATGGAATTTGCAAAATGTAATTAGGATGGTGAATCTTCTGGGACTCCCATCCCTACCACCAAAAGATACATTTCAAAGCCAAATAAAAATGCTATTTTATATCATCTACTCTTTGGATTTTCCAAGCCCCTGGTCCATTTAGAGAGAACTGTTGAGCTTTAGCTAGATAGTAGGTGCTTAACCATAAACTATAGAGCCAATCAAGCTCTTTTAACTTTTGAATAAGTTATGCATTCATACGGATCAAAAATCAAAACAATGAAATGAGGTATATTCTGAGAAGTTTCCTTCCCACTTCTGTCCCCTTATAGTGTATTATTTACCCCTGTCCCTCCACCTACAGGTCATCACTTTTATTAGTTTCCTGTATACTGTTCCTGAGTGTATTTATGCATATAAGTAAATACATATAGTATCTTTTCCTTCCTTAACACAAAGACATGATATTCATATATTTATAGCTATTTCCATTTATATATATAATATATATATATAAATATGTATATATAATATACATATGTATATTATATATATGTATATTATATATATATATATGTCCTAGGACTTTTTTCACAGCAGAATATAGGGAGCATCCTCATTTTTTTTTTTTTGGCCTTGCCACACAGCATGCGGGATCTTAGTTCCCCGACCAGGGATCGAACCTGTGCCCCCTGCAGTGGAAATGCGGAGTCTTAACCACTGGACCACCAGGGAAATTCCGTTTTTTTAATGGCTGCATCAGATTCCGTTGTGTATATGTAGATGTGTATATATATATGTGTACACACACACACACATACTCTTTTGATGGACACTTGGGATTTTCCAATCATTTGCTATTGTAAACAGTGCTGCAGTGACTGTCATGGCAATATATTATTTTGCATGAAAGCAGACCATCTGTAGAAAAAATTCCCAGAAGTGAGATTTTGGGTCAAGGGTAAATACATTTGAAATTTTAATAATGTTCCCAAATTGCTCTTTGGAGTCACATTCCCACCAGCAATATATGAAAATGACTGATTTCCCATGGCCTCCTCAAAAGAATATTAGAAAACATTTTTATCTATCAGACTAGTCAAAATCTGGAATTTATGAAGTATACTTTTAATTTACATTTCTCCTGTTTGAAAAGATGCTCAACTTTTCTCATGTTGTTTAAAGGCCATTTTGTTCATTTTTCTATGAAATGTCTATTAATGTTCTTTGTCACTTTTTCTGTTGGGTTACTGATAATTTTCTTACCGATTTTTACTAGCTCTTTCCATATTAGCAAGATTATCCATTGTTTTGTCTGTGACATGAGTTGAAAATATTTCCCCCAGTTTATTTGGTTTTTTTTACTTTGCTTATAATTTTTTTTTTTTTTTGGCATACAGAAGGTATTGTTGTTTGATGTAATTGAATTAATCAAACTTTAATTTTATACTTTCTGGGTCTTTTTTTTTTTTTTTGTGGTACACAGGCCTCCCAGTGTTGTGGCCTCTCCCGTTGTGGAGCACAGGCTCCGGACGCGCAGGCTCAGCGGCCATGGCTCATGGGCCCAGGCGCTCTGCGGCATGTGGGATCTTCCCGGACCGGGTCACGAACCCATGTCCCCTGCATCGGCAGGCGGACTCTCAACCACTACGCCACCAGGGAAGCCCTTTCTGGGTTTTTAATCATAGTCAGAATGGCCCTTCCCCATTCCCAGGAAGTCACTCATATTTTCTTGTGTTTCTTTTTCTTTTTTAATTTATTTTGTTGAAGTATAGTTGATTTACAATGTTGTGTTAATTTCTGCTGTACAGCAAAGTGATTCAGTTATACATATATATACATTCTTTTTCATATTCTTTTCCATTATGGGTTTATCATCACAGGATATTGAATATAGTTCCCTGTGCTATACAGTAGGACCTTTTTTTTTTTTTTTCAATTTCATTTTTGGCTGCGTTGGGTCTTTGTTGCTGCACACGGGCTTTCTCTAGTTGCGGCGAGCGGGGGCTACTCTTCATTGCGGTGCACGGGCTTCTCATCGCGGTGGCTTTTCTTGTTGCGGAGCACGGTCTCTAGGCATGCAGGCTTCAGTAGTTGTGGCTTACGGGCTCTAGAGTGCAGGCTCAGTAGTTGTGGCACGGGAATTTTCTCGTATTTTTAAGAACCCATTTTATTACAGAAAATTTTAAGCATACACAAATTAGAAAATAGTATAATAAACCTCAATTACATGTCATCCAGCTTCAACAATTAGGGGTATTTTGCCAATCTTGTTTTATCTTATCCTCCCATCCATTTTGAGAATATTTGAAGCAAACCCTAGACATTATATTTTCTTTATAAGTATATCAATATATATCAATAACATGTAAGAACTTTTTAGAACGTAACTTCTATAACATTATTATACCAATAATTCCTTAAGATTATCCAATACTATTCTGTGTTCACATTTTCTTTTCTGGAACTTTTATGGCTTTGTTTTCTATGTGTATAGTATGAGGTGTGTACTAACCTTATTTTTTTCCTGGCTACCCAGTTGTCCCAACTCAGCTTCTTGAAGTGTATTCTTACCTTACTGGTTTGAGATGCCACCTTTACCGTATAACAAATTCCCATGTGTATTTGAGTCTATTTCCAGACCTTCTATTGTTCCATTTGTCTGTCTACTCAAATGTTACTACTATACTGTTTTATTTACTGTGGCATTAGAGAATGTTTTAATGTCTTTCAGGACTAGTCATTCCCTAATTGAAATAGTAAGTCATCTACTCCAATTTATGCTATTTAAAAATGGCAGAAAATTATAGTTTATAGTCCAGCCTCGTCAGATCTGGTGATTTAGAAATCAGCAAGGAGTGGGAGTAGAATGTGTGAGCATACATGTGGTCCCTAAGGAAAGTAAGAGTAATAACACTATAGGAAAGTAAATAGTAATAACATAAAAGTTTGAAACCTGGGGCAGGTCCTCATCTGGAGGTGGGAGGAGAAAGCAGAACCAGCAAAGGATAAAGGACATATTTTGGTGGTTGAAGCGTGCTTCTCCCTTGGAAGTAGCCAATCCTGGTTCTCTTTGGCTAAGTCAGAAAGGCCTACAGTAGAGAAAGTTGCAGCGCTGGCTGTGTACCTGCCCTAGGGAACCAATCAGAGACGCAAATCATGTTGCAGAGCCGAGAGGGCCCAGATGAAGTGTGTGGAGGCGCTGTGCCATCACTGTGCTCCGGGCAGTTCACAGGCCTGGGCAGCCAATAACCCTGAACTCCAGGGCTGCCTGGGTGCTGGTTTGTGCCTCTGAAGATGCGAGAGTGAACCTTACGAGGCCTTTCCCAGGCAAAGGATGAAGCTGTATTATTCTGAGCCCTCTTTCCAGGAGACAGTATTAGTTCTAGCTAACAAGATACCTTTACTGGAAAAGGTCTGAGAGAGAGGACTTCTGGTACGAGTTATCGTGGGAGAGA